ACTCAAGCGGTTTTGCCAGCTTGTGATTGAGGTTTTAATTTCCTGTATATCACTTTGAACCTTTTTCATACATTCTATTTCTTCTCTAAATTGTTTATTCAGGGGTTCCATCATTTTTATATTCTGCTCTATTTTTTTTTATCAGTGTATTCTTTAGAAGCACTTAGTACTTCTTTGATTATAGTCATCACTACATTTTTTAGTTCAGAAATTATTTCTGATCTGATTTCTTCTATGCCTTTCTGCAGTTGTTTGTTTACTGTCAATGCTATTATTTCAGAAATATATGGTATGTGATTTCCAGTTTCCTCAGTGCTAGTGTCTTCTGCATTTGTACTAGGTGGACTCGGGGCCTAAGACTGCATTTTGTTCCTTCTCTTTGTCATTTTGTATACCACTGTTTTCTTATCTTTGGTGTAGAGCTTAGATAGAGTTATTACCTTAGCACCAGGTCCAGATTTGGATCTGGCTGCTGTGCTCCACTTCTTTCTGCTGCAGCTGTTAGAGTTGAGCCCTTTGTGTCACTCTGGCAAGATGTTCTGCTCCTGAATCAGCTGGGTGGGTCTTGCCTCTAGCCTCTTTGCAGGGAGTTCTGCTGAAGGTTTCTGCACTGGGCCTGCACTCTTGGTCAAATGAGGATCCAGTGGGCCCCAGGTGGTCTCATTCACACACCGGGCCTGTGCTCTGGGTCAATTCAGGATCCGGCAGTCTGGGTCCTCTCACTCACACATCAGGCCTGTGCTCTGGGTCTATTCAGGATCTGGCATGCCCTGTGTTGTCTCACTCACACTGGGCCTGTGCTCTGAGTCTCTTCAGGATTAGGTAGGCCCTGGGTCATCTCACTCACGTCAGGCCACGTGCAAACTCAGGTGACAGGGACAGAGCTCCAGTAATCCAAGCACGACAGGTAGTGACTGCAAGCTCCAGCATTGAGCAACTTCCTGTGTGGCTCCTCTCTTCTTTTATCCTCCTGGTTAGCCCCACTTACCTTCCCAGCTCTTCCCTTCACAGCACACTCAGAGCCCTTCTTTTTTTGTGTGTGTGTGTGGAACCAGGGAATTGAACTCAGGCCCTTGTGCTTGCCTGGGAAGCACTTATTTCACTGAGCCATCTCCCTGGCCCTTCTACATAATCATTAATTCATTAGTTAACATTGTTTTAATAACTAGAAATCAAATATGAGTAAGATAAATTGTGATTTGCCATTTTTTTCCTGTATCTTCAAGCACATGATTTTCATGAATTATCATTCTATTTTCTGTAGAAATCAATATTTGAACATTTCTTCCTATGTTTTAAAAATAAATCATTATCAAATTAACAAATACAGGGACTGGGGAGATAGCTCAGAGGCCTAAGTGCCTACCTGGCAAGCACAAGGACCTGAGTTCGATCCCTGGCCCCACATGCCATGCCAACCCCAGATCCCCGGGCACTCACCATGCTGGCCCCCAAACCAGGTGTAGTGGTGCATGCCTGTAATCTTAGCGCTCAGGAGGCTGAGACAAGAGAATCACTGCAAGTTCAAGACAAATCTGGGAGCTACAAAAGTGCGCACAAGGCCAGCCTGAACTGTATAGCAAGACGCCTGTCTCAAAAAAAAAAAGAAAAAGAAAAAGAAAAAGAAAGAAAGAAAGAAAATTAACAAATACAAAGAATAAAATCTTAGCAGTTAAGAGGAGGAAAGCCACTGGGGATTATATGTGATTTTATTTAACCTGCCTGCCTGGCTAGCTGGCTGGCTGACTGGCTTGCTTGCTTGCTTGCTTTTTTCTTTCTTTCTTTTTTTCCTTTTTTTTTTTTTTTTTTTTTTTTTTTTGTATTTTAGGGAAGTGTCTACAGGGTGTTTGGGGTCTCACTACTGGATCGGACTCGTAGTGATTCTCCTGTTTGCAGCCTGCCAAGAGCTTGGATTACAGGCACACACCACCATGCCCACTCTCAATTGCTGTTTCAGTGCACCCTGGGGGTGGGGCCAGTGCAGCAGACCCAGGGATGGAACCCCACTGAGCTATTTGGCTGGCCCTTTTTAGCCTTTCTAAATTTTCAGTAATGTACATTTTGTAGTCAGAAAAGAATTAAGTCTGTATTCAATGTAGTCATGCAGTTGTGAATGACATTAGTAGGCATACAAATTAAGTAGTGAAGTGAATTT